GGGGGTGTGACTATTACACAGTGACAACTATTATGTGATGAACTACGGTAAGTTATAAAGTGTGGTTGTAGGTTTTCCAGTGCATCCAGCTAATAACAGTAAGAAAGGAGGACACTGGACCAAGCAAAATGACACACTGCACCTCTTCTATTTACCTTAATAGGCACATATAAAATGGCTTCCATGATTATTTGATTTATATTCTACTTTTTCTCACAAAAACTGTAGTGAAATGTTTTATATAAATACCATATTTATATTGTGAAAGGGTATCGGCATGTCGTTTTATGAACTCCTTAATGGAAAGCTCTAAAACTCTAGATCCAGACTTGCTCTTCCTTCAATAAATAGGAAAAGCAAATGAGGCCAAGAAAAGAAACTCTAAAAAATGAAGTAGCATTTCACATAATTTGAGAATAATATAACCTGACAGTTTGTCCACAAAGTACTTTGCGAAATATCCTCTCTTTCTCTCTCTCGCCCACATACACATGTGCTCCAGGAGAAAGCAGATGATCTCTAGGTGAATTCCCAAACAATTATCTATTGGATTACTGTGCTCTTTTAGTAGTAAAATCTTACAACTAGAGGATAATTGAACTACCAATAATCAAGTAACATCTGGTTAAAACAGATTGTTTGTTTTTTTTAATTTTCTGTCTTGCTATAGAGCTAATACATTGATTTCACCGCACTAAAAGGAGAACACAGGTTTTTCTAATGCTATTGTTAGGAGCTCTTGTATAAATGGCATGATATTCATTAATGAGGCCCTTTGAAGTTACCTCTAAAGGTGTCCTGGGGAGTCAATTTTCAAGGAATTCCTAATGGAAACCGCAGATATCTGAGAATGAGGCCCACATCACCTTAACAAGGCTGGCATGAATCATTTAGAGGAGGAGGCAAAGTGACACATTGCAGTGTTTTTCCTTGTTAAAGCTATTGGCACCATGCGACAGGCACCTACGTGGGGCAACAATAGAAGCAATCTGGTCTGCCACAGTCCGCCTGCGACACCAGATTTCTTAAGACATTCCCTGCTGATATTGGTTCGTTTAATCCCTAAAGATTTAAAAAGTGTCCCAGAGACCTCGAAAATGGGAGGAGAAAGCAGACTGAAGCAATCCATTTGACTTGACATATGTCTGACAGCCAGCCCCTTGGTTGCTAACCCATCTGCTAAACTTTCAAACATTTGCTTCTGTTGTATGAGAAATCAGTACTAGCTCAGGGTAGATTCTCCCCATATATTTTGCAGAACAATTCTTAAGTACGCACAGGTGAGTATATGAGCTTAGAAAATGGTTTCAAAACTGACTTCCATAATATCAGAAACAGACAAGAACTAAAGAATATTAAAATGGGCATACCCATTTTTTGAAATAATCTAACTGCATCTTTTTATTTATTTTTATTTATTTAACACATTTATATACTGCTTTTCTCAGCCCGGAGGTGACTCAGGGCGGTTCACAGTCGACAACAATTCAATGCCTCCACAACGTTATGACTACTGATGTATCTGTAGTTTGACATTATTCTCATTAGTGCTTCTGAAGAAGTGGGTAAAAACACATCAAACAAAGCTCATACTAAAATAAAACAGTTCATTTTAAAATTGCTTCTAGGTTCCTTCTCTCCCTTTTTTCTTTAATATCCCAGATATCCACATTTGAAAATACACTATACATTACTCTTGTTTTAAAGCAATGGTTTGCAACCTGTGGATCTCCAGATGTTTTGGCCTTCAACTCCCAGGAATCCTAACAGCTGGTAAACTGGATGGGATTTCTGGGAATTGTAGGCCAGAATACTGGGGACCCACAGGATGAGAGCCACTGTTTTAAAGGATTAACACACTTTCACCGCCATCATCATCTTTCTTACAAAATTACTGCTTATGAACATTTTTGCCATCTTACTGATCCTGGATCAGTTCAACCACCTACCAATATTGCTATGGCTATTGCAAATGACCTTATATTAATTGTTAGCAGCATAATAATCAAATATGAGAAACTCTCACATATTTTTTAAAATATTACTGTACTAAAGACATTAGAAAGACAAACGACATGGTTAGAGTGCACAATGGCAATTTATTTGTGTTTGGCATGCAACAATTATTGGGAAAAATTAAGATTACAATTTTTGATCAAATAAAAAACGTTTAAGCCTACCAACTGATTACTTGTGCATTTTATCATTCTACACAGACAGATGTCACTAAGTAGTGACTTGCATTATTTTCTTTTTAAAAAGTACAAATGAATCATTGCACGAAACCAAATGAACCCTCTACGACATGCTCATATTTCCAGACTTGCTAAACAATGCTATAATCTATACCGGGTTTATCATAACAAACAGGCATGATCCGGAACCATCGATATTTTCTATTTTACAGACTCCCTGAATAAAAAAATCTGAAAGATGAAATGATGGCCAATAACACTTCAGGCATAGGTACCTCACTTAACAGAAATCATTGAGAAAATCTTACAAAAAAAGTGAATCAATTAAAGTGCTATAGCTGTTGTATATGAAATACTGCTAGCAAATATACTTAGCTTTAGAACCACTGGGAATGCACAAAAGGAATTTAGGAATGTAACCCATGCTGTCGCACAACTTGCTAATGTTCAGCCCTTATAGATTTTCTGTAACAGAACATACAACAGATTGATCTTGTAATGCTGCTATCCTTCTTCAATTACTTTGAAAGCAAACATTTGATATAAATCAACATCCTTCAGAACATATGTACATTTTCACCACTTCTACCATTGCTGGGGATACATGGAGCCCAGTGTATAGGAAGGGCTTTGGCTTACACTACATTTCTAAAAGGTATAGTTGTAAATCATATTCCAGACATATGCTCCCTCTTTTCTAAGAATCTAATTGAGCAAAAAGTTTCAAGTAGAGAACTCATCATTAAAATGCTTAATTGAAAATATGATCCCATTCATAACAGCTACAGTACAAACAAATATTTTAATAGCTGGGATATTACAACTTGATTTAGATAACAGACAAGTATAACTAAAATCAATGGATACTTAAGTATAATCTGTGGATCCTTCTACATTCTTTCCTAAGTGGTAATCAAGTTTAACATAGTAATTCTAAAAAACAGCAGCAATCTCCACCAATAATATTAAGCATTTTTATGATAATGTCCTGCATCCCAATAAAGTAGGACCCATTATATGCATCTTGACCTACCATTCAACATTTGATTCAGACCTACTCTATTTGAGACTCACCAACAGGAACCAAGCCACATACTTTTCACTAGAAATGACCTTTACATATTTTTCTGGTACTATTTCAAATAAAGCAGAGTAATAATGACTGCTGGTAAATCCTTCATGCTAATTTCTTAACAAGAAGCATACACAAAAATGTGTGGACAATCTACATTCATTATATTGACCCTCTAGGAAATGAGGAGTGCATCTATGATTTTGTAATGAAAATAATCTAGCAAAACTATTTTACATTCCATATAAATATGGAATATCCTTGGAGAGGAAATATTATTTTATTGTACAAGGAATATTGTGCAAGGTTTGAAGACAATCAAAGAATTTGTACTAATACTGAGGTGTCATTTTGCTACTGAGTAGATAAAGACCAAAACACCTTGCTATACTAGTCTTGTAGTATCTCCTAATTTCTGTATGAGCAGTAACTATGGTCTCAGTGATTGTGTACTTAGAGTATGTCAACAGGCATTTTGTGTCATTACTCAGAGAACACAGAGAATTTATTTAGAATACTCACTTTTACACTTTTATGGGGCATTTTGTTGTTGATGAACATTGCCTTATACCTATTTGAGTTACAACACACATAGTACTTTCTTTGAAGTTAAATACTGAGAGTAAAGGGATGCTTGAATTCACCAACGAATTAGATAGGAATAGAAAGCACTATGAAAGTGGTTCATAAAAACCTCAGCTAAAGTTCTTATTAACTTTGTGACACATGTCAAAAATTTTACAGCAAAGTATTTTGATCTTTCTTATTAAGATTCTAAAAAAACATAATTCAAAAGGTATATTCTAAAAGTTCATAACAATATCAACTGAGGATTCTGTGGTTTATACTCTTCAGTAAGATGAACTTATATATAATGGAAGTTCAAACTAAATATCAATGGCCCAACGGTTTCCAGTATCATGTGTGGAAGCCATTAACTGTGGTACTGTGAAACATCTGAAAGCTTTAAACAGGCAATGCATTTTAAAAACACATTTTTGTATAAACAATCAAGGTAAACATCTACTTCAAATACAAGAAGTTAACCTTGAAACACAAGGAATAGCTTAGACTGTGTTAGCTACTCAGTGTTATCGTCTGAAGAATAGATTAGACTATATCATTTGGCACTCACAATATGAAAGAATAAAGTGAAAGCATGTAAAGTGTGTGTGTGTGGAGGGGAGAATCCTTCATATTCTGAGACATAGTATAAATTCTTAAATTATTAACATTTATTCATATATTAGGGTCCACCAAATTACAGAGGAAATTGATGGAGACCCTCTGGAGCAAAACAAATCTCTTCCTTATGGCATATTATCCTGCGATTTATGGCTGAAGATATTTAAGACTACAGACAACACTCCTGCACCACTATTTTTGGAACAGCTCTTCCCTACTATTGTGTGATACTTACAAGAGTTTAAATTAAGAACATAGAATATTGAGAAAAGCTAAAATAAAAATATTTAATATCATTTATAACTGGAAGGAAAGAAAATTCAGTTGTTCTTTCTCAGAAAAGTTTCATATATCCAAATTTGAAAAGATACCCATTAAATAAGAGAAAAAACATATGAACATCTGAAAACACCCCCCCCCCATTTTAAAGTAAAACAGCCTTATTCTAACACTCCATCTTGTTGAAGCCTTCTTTGCGTTTTGCTGCACCAAATATGCTGCTTAAATACTTACATAAAGCAAATTAGAATAACATTTTGATCACTAAGTATAGTAAACAAACTTTTCTTTATGGCAGTGTTTTCCATTGCATTTTGCCACTTTGAAATCAATGCACAACACTATACACAAATATTACCTTGTTACAGGCATGCATAATCAATTACATCTGCAACTCTCAAACGAATGACAATATTTAAATTTGACACAGCATATAGGATTGAAAACCCTCCAAAAACTCTTTAAACCAGGCATAGATTTGTAAAAGCACAACATTCAAAATATTTCCCGATGCAAACTGGTAAATGCCAAGGAAATATGCTGAAATGCTGATTCTTCAGATTTCTCTGTCAGCCTTTGTCTCCTCCTCATTTATATAGACTTTAAGTAAATGAGGTATTAACTCATTACCGTTTTCTGTTTACCTCATCTTAAAGTATACTTCGATGCCTAAACAAGTAGTATGCTGTATCCTTGTACATATGTCTAGCTCTTTTCACATCCATACCAAGGGATATAATTTCAAAAGCGCACATTTCTGAAAGAGCATAAACGTAGCTCTTCAAACACATTCCATTCTGGAATCAATACTGTCAACATCCTTATGCAAAAACATCTTATGACACTTCCATTTAATAGGTCTGTATTGATGATTCCTAGTTCTAGACTGTCAACAATAAAATCCTACATTATCACATTTTCCTTCATGTTGATAGCTGCAAAACACATCCTGCTTGTGCGCATCCACTTTGACAGCATGCCTTAACATCAAAGAGATTGACTGAAGAACAAAATAAATATTCAAGTAAGAGTATGGGATTGTAGCTCTACAGTGGTGTACACAATAACTGCATTAAAGCAAAAACAGAATACATTGGCAGGTAAATGTTTGAGTTAAAAGGAGTGTTTTAAAGCAATTGAAACTCACATTTCACTTTTATACAGCTCGTGTACAGATTGCCAGTTTTGGCAGATACCAGTTCATATTTGGAGTGAATTAAAAGAGTGGAAAATAGAAAGTAAGATATCAAAACATTGCAGTAAGAATCTGTCTAAGCAAAGAAGCAACACAGGATACTAACATTACTTTAGCTTTTTGCAAATTTGCCAGCTCTTCGAGAAGGTTCATATGGCACTCTGAGAATACTGGGAGTTTCTTCCATTACTCGTACAAGAAGATTGTCAATATAGTCTTCAAGTTCACGAATATGAGTGTCCTTCTTCTTAAGTTGTTCTTTGTGTTTCACTAATTCTTGTAAGATCTCTTCATACGTAAGATTACGGTATCCTGAGGTTGCATCAAAAGGATTTCCCTCCTAGAATACAAAGGTTTGTTTAAAAAAAGAATTAAGAATATTAATGATCCTGTATCTAGAAAAGAATAAATCAGAAACCGAATATAGCAATTTTCTTTTACTCCATTAAGACAGGTAATGAATTGTAATAGTATATTTAAATAAAATACTTGTCATATTGACACTGGACAAGTAGTTTATCCAGTCCAGATAATTATTATCTAATTATTCATTCAGTCATTTCCCATATTTTTATCATACTAAAGACTCATTGCTGATTTAAAGTTTTTGTGCTATTTTCTTTAAGCTATTAGGAAAAAAAAAGTTGGCACTCCACATTTGTGGTTTTGATTTTTTCAGATTTGATTATAGATTTAATTATTATGTTCTTTCTAGGAATCTCTAGGTCCTCCACCGTGACCTGCAATATTGTTGCACTGGAAGACTTAGAGATTCCTAGACAGAACACTTTTCTAGGTGTTTTTAGATTCCATAGTGTGATTCTTTGGTCAACGTCCTGCATAAGTTGACTGTAGAGTGCCGTGCTGGAGAGTCAAGAAATTCCTACAGATATGCTCTCTCAGATAATGTGAATATGTTATTCACATTATGGTAATGTGACTTGAAGATCTATGCTCATGTTACATCTGACATTTTAAAGCTGTTGGAAATGATTTTAGTTGAGAATGGCTTCCTATGTAGTACACCTGTTGTGTGCAACTTTTTTCATACCAGCTATGCCAACTAGCTTGTAGTGTAGGAGCGGATTGTCTGGAACTGGAGAACAGAAATAACTTCTGCCCCTCAGAGCACCTTGAGCCATCAAGAACCAACTAAACTAAAGTAAGGTGAAAGAGCACTGTGGCCTCATAAGAGCCAGAAATTGCTACTTAAGCAAAAGCATCAGCAAGGGAAATCAATGTGAGCTAAGCTAGTTATAAATACACGCATAACTCACTACTTCATTCTGACACTCAAGAATTAACCTCTCGCTTCCTTCTGTTTCTTTTCACCTCCTTCCCTGTGTGTGTTGTCTGTTTTTAGATAAGATGCAAGAGGTTAGAGGGATCTCTTTGCTGTATATATAACCTTTGAGAGACACTCATTGTCTGAAAGGTGGGATAAAACATAGTTAGGGTAATACGTTCAAAAAGCAGTCATAGCCACAGAAGAATATTGCAACTATAAGGATGATTTTGCTGATTAATTCTGGCATCACGTCAATAAGAAAGGAAAGAGAAGTTGCAACAAAATATAAATACTGCGGAATTTACAGTACACCAACTTTTCAAGCTTTCACTGTTGGTCTGTAGTAAAAGCAGGAGCAGATTGTAATTGAGATCTAAGGGAAACAGGCCTCCATCTGGGACACACAGTGCAGTGTTATTAAGTGAACATTTCTCTGGAATGCTTCCCACTTTCCTGGCAGAAGATGCTGCAAGGGAGCCTGTCTATATTTGAAAAGAATCCAAAACGATTAAAATGGATAATAGATGTGGTTCAAAAACATTTCTTGGTTGCTTCCCAACAGTGAGATAATTCTTCTGCATTCTTTTTTTAATTAATTCAGGTTCTATTTTAAGATTTGTCTGCATCTATATTTAAATAGCAAGTTGGAGCTCATTCATACATGCACGTACTCACTGATCATTCAATAACCTACAGATGAATCCGTAAACTGGCTTTTCTGATAAGCATTGTATTTGAGTTTAAATCTGGCAATAAGAAATCTGCTTGCTAGACTGATCAAGGATGCCCATTTCACACATGCAATGTGTGGTCAATGAATGATGAATATGTGAGAATGTATATTTATGTCTGCTAATGAAATTAATGCAGTAATATATTAAAAATAAATTAAAATAACTTGACTCATCAGCAATGCATGAAATTGTGTAATAAATCCGGGCACTGCTTTTCCAAGCATTTTCTGGATTACACAATTACATGTTGAATACTATGGCTGCAGAATGACCCATGAATAATGCTAAAAAGAATCCATGTTCAGTTTGGAAAGCTTGCAGACTTTTCTCAGCCAAACCTCAATCCCAAATTAGTATCTTTTTTTCATCTTTCTAAACCTGACACCCGTGCCCTAATCCTATTCCTGAAGGAAGAAGGAACAGAGAAAGAGAAAGAATCCACATTCTTATTTGCTCCATTTTTGGTAGCTCATCTCTACCACTTTAAATGCCAAGCTTTGTCTACCCTGGGAATGTGGAGAATAGAATTGTATACCCAAGGCATATCCAAAAGTACTGTTTGAACTCCTTCCCTTTCACAAGGCAGCCAAGGATTTATGTAGCTTCTAAAGCCTTGTTTGTCTAATTACCCATTCTAGTCCTCCTGTGGCTGTGATACAAAAATCAGAGCACTTGGATTTAAGCAGATTTCAATGGGAATAAGTGTTTTATGGATCAGGGTGTTTATGTTCATTTCCCAGACTGCCTAATGTGCACTGAAATGTCTAGAGTTTAAGCAGAGTAAGAAATATGCTATAATTGCAACATTGTACTTAAGATGGTAATGAAGACCTATTAAAACCGACCTCTGGGGCTGATGATATTGCAAACAGAATTTTAAGCTAGTTAAAAAAAGAAAGAAAAAGTTTCCTTTGATGGGTCACTGAGCAGTGATCAGTGAATTTAGTCCATACACAGCGCAGGCTACGGTATATATGTGCCTACTCCATAAGTCCCTTCAGGCTCAAGAGAATTTCCCTCCAAATAAATACACATAGGGTTTCAGCCATTATTTAAATATATAAAAATGTATGAAACTGGAAAACAGTTTAGAATAAATCATATAAAAATGTGAGGGCCAGCGTAATGTAATGGTTTGACTTTTGCACAATGGCTCAAGAGACTAGAGTTCAAACCCTTGGCTGAAAAAGAAACCCACTGGGTAAATTTGGGCAAGTAACACTCTCTCAGTCTCAGAGGAAGGCACAAATTTTGCCAATGCCATGATAGGTTTGTCCTAGGGGTTCCATAACTCAGAAATAAATTGGAAGCACAAAACAATAAATATGTATTAAAACAGTAGTCATTTTGTTATGTGTGAATAATGATCATTTTGCTCTTAGATAGCAAGAACCAAATCAAGTCCCACCTCCCACCTCCTAATTTTAGAATGAGGTAAGGTGACATAGGGATGCCTTCTGTTTACATCTGAAGCCTATCATTAAGGAAGATAAACACTGATAATTTTGGAAGCATACCACATCAAATATGCACGGATTTAGCTTCACTCCCTTTCACTTCAGCTATCTCTGCCTCCACTTTGGCACCTATCACATCATTAAAATATGCAGGTGGCAAAGTTGGAATAAGGCTAATTAGAAAGGGTGAGCTAGCAAGCCAGAATAAATGGTGCAAGTCAATCAACTGTTTAATTTTTTGAGCTCTTTAAACTAATTGAAAGGTGAAGTATTTTTATCTGGTTTATTTTTCAGTTAACCCCTTTTTATATCAATTATCTCCACTAAAAATGCCAAGCTCTTCATAGATATATCTGAATATGAATTATTTCTAGTGTGATGGATGTCTGTATGTAGAAACAGAATTTAGAACCAATTCAATTTTCTGTTGACTCAAATGTAGTTTATTTTCCACTACATTAAAGAAGAAATAGTAGTAATAAATAAAAAGTATGTGCTTTAATACAACACTCCACAAAGAAATTCTATATTTTGTACCAAAATTGGTCATATTATAACATAATCAACGATACCTAATCAAAGTTACATTTTAGTTACATGTCGGTTCAGAGGAATAGATCTTTTAAGATGTCTAGATAGAGTTTAAAAAATCAAGTCCATGTTTATGCAAATCTTGCAGCCTATTGGAAACTGGATGCTTTTAGCCCTTAAAATAATAGGAAACCTGTCTAGCGAACGTAGACAAATCTTAGTTTTAAATATATAATCTACTGCCACCTTCTAATGCTGTAATGGCAATAACCTCAAGAATGTGCAAGGAAAAAAGCAACATTTGAAATATGTAAGCATGTACGGGAAATCTTGAAACTAAGTATTATTTGGGTACAAGCTGATAGTCACAACTACCGGATAAAGGGAAAGATAAATGAGAACCTGGCATTCTTTGATCATCTGTTTATTGTTCTAATGAGCAACTTTGCTTTGGGAATATCATCTGAGCCACTTTCACATCTCTTGTTCTTCTTGCTTTATCTCCTTTTCCGTTCCTAATTAGGCTTTAAAGAGTTCTTGCTGCCCTTTCAACCGGCTACTGCTCCTCTTTAAGCAACGTTCATTCAGAGACAGGTGTTGGCACCACCAGAGCACAAGGCACATAAACTTAATTACCAAACACTACTTCCAAGGGAAGAAAAGAAATAATTTATTGGTGGTGCATCATTTAAACTACTTCAAACTACTTATAGAATAATTCCACAACATCTGAATATTGACAATGGTTCTATTTCCAGCTTACTATGTAAAATTAATGTCTTTGCCACTATAATTGTGTTTTGGATTACACAAACTTTCAACTAACTCAACATTATGGTTTAATCCAAAATGAGAACAAAGGCAAACATGGATTATCTATCACCTTTAATTCTCACAACTAAAACTACATTTAAAATTACCACGGTTTTTACTAGCAAATATTCCATAATTCTGGATTTTATTTTAAAATCCATAGCAGCCAATGAAATGTATTTTAAACGAAGTGCAGAAACTATGAAAAATATGATCAAGAAAAGGACTATATGCACATTCACTGGGAATAAACACTATTCACCACAATAATAATGCAAATAGCACTGGACTGCATGCCCACTTAAAATTAATCAAACAGTACATAGACAGATGCCAAGTCCTATGGATTTAATTTCATCAGAAGACATCTCAAAACAGGTAAAACCCTTTCAAATGTATTACTTAATCTCTCAAAAGAGGGGGCAAGATCATTGTTGAATTTATTTTGCCCCAATAAAACACATCAGCTTATTTCTTTATGAAATCACAAATTTGTGAAGGATCAAAGAGGAATTAAGCAATATACACACACAATCCTGCACCTTTTTGCAATTAATTTTGGAGCAATCCTGCAGTAAAGCTATTCAAATCTTTATGCCAGTGGGATGAACAACAATGTATGTTTATAGATAAGTAGCACAACCAAGTCCAATAGGATTTACTCAAAATTTAAGTGTCATCAGGACTGAAGGCTATGCAAGAGTAATAAGTCATCAGGACTGCAGGAGTAATAATATAATTTAAAATGAAGATAATACAATATTTTTTTTATTCTGGAACAGACTCTAATACCATTATATTTCTAACTGAATTGGGATTTGGGAAGGGATACTTTTAAAGTTCTCATCACACAGGTTATTCTTCCATCCTTTGGTGGTCAGATGAATGCTCCAAAAGAAAACAAATGCAGCATTTGAGAGTTGTTTTAGTCTTCGTGGGAGTTCATTTGCTATTTGTATTACCAACCTCAATATATTTACTCATCAACTTAGCACTCTCACTTTGGTAAAATCACCTCATACATCTTACAAGATTCATGGGACCTGTATTTGTAAAGGACTGGTTGGAATTATTCACTACCAAGAAACCTGTTGCTTGGAATATATACTCCCCTAGTGAAAAAAGGATAGAAGTATATTACACTAACTAATACAAGTCCATAATGCTGCTATTCAAGACTACCATGCAGCAGAAATGTGTGCTGCTCTGGTTACCTAAAGATGTCACAAAAAAGATGTCATGTAATTGGTAAAATACAGGGAATTCTACTAATAGACTTGTGAAAATGCTGAGGAGAGTTGTTTAGTTGAATAAGAAAGACAACTAACTTAGCAACTTATTGTTTAAACCATGAAGAAAAACAAGCTGTAAACTAATTATCCTTGCATGGAAAACAAATCAACTTACATGACAGGCAATTATTGCCCTTGTGCCACCTTCTATGTGTTTCACCAGAGGATTCAGATGACATTATTTTGTGTTGATATATGATTGAAAAAAGCGGGTTTGGTGGGAGAGCTTCAGGGGACTAGATATGGAATTGTGCCCCACAAAAGCAGGGCCATATTTTCCCCTCCTCGGAGAGGAGAAAGGCTGACAAGAACCATGAAGCCTCACATAACCATGTCTGACATGCCACACATCTCACTGTCTGCATAATTTTTTTTTCGTGTCAGGAGTGACCTGAGAAACTGCAAGTCACTTCTGATGTGAGAGAACTGGCCGCCTGCAAAGACACAGCCCAGAGGATGCCCGGGTGTTTTACCATCCTTGTGGGAGGCTTCTCTCATGTCCCCACATGGGGAGCTGGAGCTGACAGAAGGAGCTCAACCCACTCTCCCTGGATTTGAACTTCTGACCTGTTGGTCAGCAGTCCTACTGACACAAGGGTTTAATCTATTGAACCACCAGTGCTCCAATCTGCAGGAACAGCAAGCATGAAAAGGAATTGTATGTTCTTATCAAAATACATTCATAGATTCCTCTACATGCAGGTGTACGATGGGCCAATCAGAATTCTCTGTCACATAGAGGATATTCCCAAGTGAACTTTAATAACTACTCATGGCAACTAAGAAAGAAGCTACTCTGCACCCCCCTCATGTGTACTTTGAATACATGTGAGGGTTCAGTAGAGCTCTTCTGTATCTTCAGGTTCCTAAATTAAATTGAACAGAAGTAGGCTTAGGACAGAGAAGATTTCATAGAAATTAGTAACTAAGGCTGATGAAATCCAAAAGTACCAGAAGCTCCTTCTTTTGACACTGAAACAGACTAACATAGTTACTTCTTTGAAAATCATTACTCTGCTACTGAAATGATTTTTAAAAATAATGCTTAGGAAAAGGTGCCCCATTTCTGAGTTCCTCTATGGCTAGTAAAGAGTCCCCAAACTGCAAAACTACCAGCAGCAACCCCCTACCTCAGATTTGGGGGTGATATTTGCCATGTTAGGAGTGAAATAAAAATAAAACTTATAAGCAAAATTATGGAGATGGATGGGAAACAAAAATTAGAGGTGGCAGTCCAGAATCTCATGCACCTCCTCCAGTCCCTGGAAGTTCCTTATCTCTGGGCTAGAGTGACCTTGGTCTTAAATCAACAAGGTAATTTGCCTGTTTAATATATATTATATAACCAGATATTTCTAACACTCTTAAAAAGAACTCTATCAGCTATCTACACACTTCAAAGCTTTATAAAAAGAGTAAACTAAGTATGGTATGACTATTTCTTACCGTTGATTTCCGGAGATTTTCAGTGTTTGCAGGTTTCACATTAAAACTAGGGAAACAATAAAAATGTATTACATAATAAATATACACAATCATACAATATTTTAACATATTGCATGATGACTTGATTATATCCCATATATAGGCAAAACAGTGACACATATATTTACACACACAAGTTCAAAAAACACATGCAAAAATATCCTTTAAAATAAGAAAATATATAAATAGTAACATATACCCAGGCAACAGCCAAAAGTCTTTGTATACCTGCTTTGTTTGGTACCTGTAGGGTTGCAAAAGCAGAAATGTGCTCTCAGATCCAAAAAGCCTCTTCTCCACAAAACAGACATGTACAATGTACCAATAAGATTTTCTTTGTCTTTACTACAGGGGAAATATCTTTTCTATAACCATACTGAATAATAATTTGAGGAACAGCTGGAACACAGACGTTAAAGGCAGTAAGTCTGAAAGTATTAAGCTTCTAGCACAACTTAAGGAATGTAGGTACAGAAAGAGAAGTACCACAAGGAAGCCTCCCTTCTGTGCAATCGTTCAACACTGGTTTTACCCCAGACAGAGAACAAGACACTTTCTTAACCCAACACTGATTTTCTGTAGAATGGGGGGGCCATATAAACAACAACAAAGAGATACGTGCTGCTAGTTTTTAGTGACCTTGTCTCTCTTCAGCAGCAAGAACATATCACCACAATTCTATTCTATTCTTTATGGACAAAATTTGACTGATGTATTTCATCTCTGCAGGAATATTTCTTTAAAGGTGAAGGCATGTCAAATAAATGTCACTGGTCTCAAAAATAGCTCTTTGTCCTTCATCCCTGTATGGTGCACTTGACAGCTACGCTTCAGTTGTAGCAGTGACAGATATCTCCCATGAATTTTGCAAAATACTCTAACCCATGAAGAGTTCCAGGTTCGTTGCCCAGATACAGTAGGGAGGGGAGGAGAAGGAAGAAGAGGAGAACTAATCCTAACTGTTGAACTCTACGAGCTCCAATAAGACTCTTTCCCAGGCAGGAAGAAACATAAAATTCCCTAGGAAGAGTCAGTAAGCAAGATGACAATTTCTTCTAAGGAAACAGAAAGTGCATAGGAGCAAAAATCCTTAAGGATGAAAATGAAACAGCTCTCTATCTCTTGGGGAAACTCATTTTCACAGAGTCCACAAAAAGCTATAATTTCCAATGTCCTGGAATTAAAGACATCACCAATTCTAAATTGCAAGACAGTTTTTTTAAGCTAGGTACAGGAATGGTAGATCTTTCTTCCTACCTTTCTCAGAACAACTATGGAAAAATTCAAAGGAATGACTCTATAAATAAACAAGCTTTTAGATACATTTTAGAACTTCAGATACAATTCTTGGTGTAATTACTACTATCTCTATATTGCATGCAATTAATTATGCAGTTCCTATAGGTTCAAGATCCATATATATTCATGTCTAAGTCGACTTCATGTATAATTCATGATAGCGTCTTAAAACCAATCCAATCTAGCCTTTTGTTAAATGGGAACCCATTCACTACTTTTCTAGTTTAAAATAACTTATGGTCCTATGTTCATACAAAAGTCTGTGCTACTGAAATCTGTATGATATGCTCCTGTATGATTGTGCTGAGCATGAAATAACATGTTGTCTGATGCTGCTAATGGCTTTGAAATGTTATTTCCTGATGTTTACTGCCTTTTGTTCCTGGTCAACACATGGTCAAGTAGGGGCACCTGGCAATAAAGTGTTTGACAATGTTAGCATGAGGCCTTATAAGGCAAAAGGGACATGATGAGTTTCCATTTCATAATGAGTTTTCTTCCACAGTTGCCATAATTCTAAAGAGTCATCCCTCCAAGTCATAAGTCCTTGGAGACCACGCCAATGGAATCCACAGAGAAAACTGAGGGAATTGTGTATCATTACTGTGAGGAGTGAGCACTATATAAAGAATAATTCAAACTATTTTTCTTGAATTTTTGTACTACAAATGGTTAACCGGTTGCTCAAGACAGAAGACTCCGTGTTAAACTCCCTTCATTATATGAAGCTTTACTATTAGTCTTGCCACCGCACCAGTGTCTTGATTAATTTGGAAGCAAAACACATCTAGATATAACCCAATATATGCCCTTAATTGGGATGGAAAAATATTTGCTATGATTTGTTTTCTGGTTGAAAAAAAAATGGTTTTCTCAACATGTGTTAAATCTATCTGGGAAGAATAATATAGTGGTGAAATTTTTTCATAGTTTCGTCTTATTGTTCGTACATTCCGAAGTGCTTCAAGAAAATATTCTTTGCAGAAAAATGTAAGTTGTTTTTTTTTGGGGGGGGGGGTTGCATGAGAATTGTGGAGGTTTACACAAAAATACTGATCTCAGATATCTCCATGTGTTGTCTGCAGTCTGTGTGTGCAAGATTGTTGTTTTCTTGGCCAAAAAGCCCTCAAACATTTCATGTATTTCTTCAGAAATTTTTTTCAAAACATTAAGACTGTATGAGAACAGCATAGAAATATTTGTTTTCTCATCTGACAACTTTAGAAATTGTTTTCTCCTCAGAAAACTGTAGAAATTATTCATCCTTAACTGCAAGAACATAACTGAATATTCACATTCCTAGTCCATAATCCTTCTGAATATATTTTAATCCACAAGAGAACATCCATATACATGTAAGAAATCATATGGAAATTCCTATACATGTCCAACACCACAGCTGAAAGAAAATATGTGTGTGCATGCTGACACACAGATACACACAGTATCTGACCAATTCAAAATTAGCAAATAAAATATGTTTTGCTAATTACCCACTTCCATACACATTCTGTAGATACAAACAGATAGTCTCACAGAACATGCCACAATGATACAGTGAGAGATTGTTCCCCCAAATTTAAAAAGCTTATAGCCAATCTTTTAAAATGTCTTACTAGTGGCCTACTCATTTTGAGTTCACTTCCCTTTAATCTGGTTATAGTTTGCTTCTATGAGTATAATTTAAATGTAGGTGGAAAGCAAATGTTACCACCTGCATTAAACCAAAAAAAATATGGGGGGGGGGGGAGCTGTTAAAACATATATAACCATTAAACCAACTATATGGGCTTCTTATCTATCAGATGTAAGACACAACATGTAAACTGTTATTTCATTGGTGAGGAAGACCTTTCAACCACACTCGATGAACCAAGAGTGTGCATATTATTATTGTCTAAATGAAGCAAAATAATTATTGCAATGATCCCGACCCATGAAATAACAATTTGCATGTTGTATTACATAGTATGAAAAACAGGAAAAATATATAGTTCACTCAATAGACGAATCAATCACTCTGAAATCTTGATCTTACAAGAGTAAATTTGATGCTTTGGATGATTATAACACGTTTCCTCCCTAATTTCATACTGTGCATTCAGCACTCTTCCTATTAGTGATATTGGACAAGGTAAAACTGGTAAAAAACTAGTTTGGAATATGTAGGAATAATTATGCTTTGCAAATGTGGAAAAACAAGTCCCAAGACAGAAAACAATGCACATATTAATGTTGTTCGAAACTTTACAGATACCTACGTTGTTGTCAACAGGTATTCCAAGTTAATGTCTGACACCCTAAAGCAGCCAAGCCTGAACATTAAATCTCATCAGCGTGCAGAAGCATGGAAATTCACAGATGAGGCAAATAATGTTGCAGCTGAGACTGCCAGACAACAAGAAAGCAGAAAGATAAACAAAACAGATGGAGATTACTTAAGACATTTAATTTTTCCTTAAGCTGTGATTTTTAAAATGTTTGAAGTTGCAAAGGAACATTTCGGAACATAAGCTGTCAATATAGATTACAAGATACAAGACAAACCTGCTTTATTTCTATTTACCATGATATGACACATTGAAAAATATTTCAGTATGCTAAAAATCACCTATTTTTATATCTTCATTATTTACAAAACTTCTGATGTTGCCAGGATTAACATTTTGCCTCCATCTAGTTGCTTTTAAAAAAAGAGTTAGGATCTTTAAATTAATTACACTGTTTCCTCAGAACAATAAGGAAAATTATTATAAAATGAAAGCTGAACAACACAATCCCTTTCTAATAAGGTATAGATGTTCCAAAAGATAAGCTAAAAATAAAAACACCTTACAATTGTAAGAATATGCGTGTCCCTAGTTCATTTCAAATTGGCAGATTTATCAAACACTACTATGTCAATTTAAGAATTGTTTATACAATTAGAGTAAGAGATTGCCAAAAGGAAAAAGCAGTAGAGGGAAAAAATTGCATGTGTATATTTTATGAATTGTTATTAATTTTCCATCTGTTGATAAAAAAATACAATAAAAGACTAAAGAAGGTTTTCAGAAAATGTAGCCCTCTAGATGTTCTTGCAGTCCATTATTCCCAGACACTTCCGCCAATGGAGAAAATTAATAGGAAAACATTAATTAGACATTCAAGGGATCCCACATTCCTGGGTTAAAATCTATCCTTCTGAATAAAATATACACAAAATACACATTTTACCCTATTGAATAAATTACCCCACTTCTCTTTTCTGCTCCACTGCTATCAATTTTCAATATATTCCAGATGACGCTCACTTTACCTTGGGCCCCTTCCTCACAGTTGCATAAAATCCACATTGAACTGGACTCCGATAATCCAGTTCAAAGCAGATATTGTGGATTATCTGCCTTGATATTCTGGGTTATATGGCTGTGTGGAAAAGCCCTGAGTTACTCTTTCAAGATCATGCGAAATAATTCATGTCACGGGATCCATTACCTGCTAACATCTCTGAAACATTCTGTATATGATGCTGCCTTTGAAAACTTTGTTTTGTTTATATGTAATCTTTCCCCTTATATAAGCAGCTTCGACAATMTTTAGAAGATTGGYTTCTAAACTGACTAAAAACAAAAATTCTAMCTTGCAATACATATTAAAGTCTTGGGATCCTTCCACGCAAACCTATATCCCAAAATATCAAGATAGAAAATCCCACAATATCTGCTT